ATCTGAGTGGCCTTTTCTGGGGAGGGGGTGTATTTAAATGATGTATAAGGGTGATCTCATTCATTTCTTTCATGGAAAAAAAAGTGTTTTTTCGGCTGCTTTTGCTGCATTTATAAATATCTACACATAGATCTGTCTTCTGTATTTTGGAGAGCTTTGGCAGTCTTGGGGAGACCTGGAATGTAATTTCCCAGATGGTGATGGAAACCTGAGTTCTCATTCTATCAGCTCTGCCCAATTACAAGGAGAAAAGGACATTGGCTGAAAGAGCTGCATCTCAAGTTTCAAACCCAATCTCTGATGTCGTGGTTGGATTCCAAAGGCTAGGTTTTCCAAAGCCTGTCTGAAAAAGAAACATGCGAAGGCCAGACATTTTTAATGGGGAAAAAAAGGGAAAGAAAAGAAAGGAAAACCTTCTCTGGACATCTATCTTAGAATATATGAGCAGCTGAGCATCCACACATCTATTTACATATTTGTTTGTTGTACTACTCAATTTGAAATTACTTCTGAGATTTTTCAGTTCCCTCTCCAAAGTTACTGTGGCTATGCAGGAGCCCAGCTATAAACTATAACTTGCTAATACTGAAGTGATGATGTTAGCCATAGGACACATTCAACAGAAGTGATTAAAAAAACCCAAAGGTTCTTTCAGATTTTATTTTAGGATCAAAATACTTCACTGGAAAAATATTTAAAACTTTTTGAGCTTGCCAAATGTGCGCACACACTTCCACAGAAGAGAATTATTGTTTTGGAATGTAACAAATTCTGGTTACTCATCCTTTATATTCTTTTTTTTCAGGCCAGATAATCACTTGGAAAACTGGGCCCAATCCTGGTTATATTTAGGTACAAGTTACTCATGGGAAACTACTAGGATGACATATGAGAATGAAATTACACTTGAGCTCAATTATTTGCAGAATCACTCTAAGTCTGTAAAAATGAATGTCTTGTTTTATGTTTCAACAATGGAGGCAAGAGGCAAATCCCTGTGTTGTGCTATGAGAAAAATGGCAGCTTGTACAAGCAGAAATAGCTCTTGTATAGAAATTAGCTCAAACAATGGATTGCTCTTAGGTGGCTGCAGAAATGGTATTCACAAGTGAATATTGATCTGTAGCAGCTGGAGCATGAGTAATGGAGAAAAGAAGGTACAATCTTGCATCAATACAGCACGTCAGGCTTACAAGCAGCGTTATTTTTATACTGTTTTTTTTCTTTTTTTTTCAGTATAAAAAAGCCATACCATGTTATTTTCTTAGTCAAATTTAATGCAAGCAAAAATATGCGTTCTTCTCAAGGTCAGATTGACATGGACCATGGGTTGGCTTTTTTTTTAAGCCTTCCTCAGTAGCACACAGCTCAGTCCCATTCATAGGATCATCTGAGCCTACTTTAACTTGACTAATTTCCTGCCACAGTAATGGTAAAGCATTTATAATACCTATGTCTCTCCTGCTGTTTACTGGTGGCATGTTGTAGAGGGAGGTTTAATAGGATGCGTTGTGCCTGTGATGTGCGTGATGGTCAGAATAGATGTTCTTGTGGACCTGTTTGGAAAGTTGTCTACAAATACAGGAGACTTGAAGGCCTGGGGCGGTGCCCTCCTCATCTATATTCTTATATAGCTATATATAGGTTTGATAAGAAACATAGCCTTTTCTTAGAAAAATAACTGAACTGGTGTCTTAGCATTTTACTGCGTGGAACCCAAATTCCTGACACCCTGCATTCTGCCTTATCGCAGATAGCAGAGAGCTGAAGATGGAGAGAGCATTTTCTATGGAGGATGCTTTTGAGTCACTTCATCTTTCGTATTTTCATCACAGTGTTTTGCATGTGATGTTCCTCTTTTTGCTCCTCATTGCCAGTGCTTTCTCATGGGGGTTCTTGAATTATTTAATGAAAATAATATAAGGTAAATCCAGGAAAACTTTTTACAGTTAAATGTGCTTACACAAGAAATGTCAGAACTGAGCTGAAATAAATTATGAGGTGCGATACCTGTGAACTGAAGAGATGGGTAGAGAGCAGGCCCCTTTCTCTGTAAGTGGAGATTTGAAACCTTTTGGCACAAACTGTTGCCTTCCATCTATCATGAGCAAAATGTTCCATGATTTGGTATTTCATGGATTTATCGTCAGGAAACTATTGTCTGCCTGGAACGGCTCACTGCATAACCCAGTCTTGAATTGTTTTTAATAGGAACTTGCGTCTAGAATGTGTTAAGATCATTTGCTGAGCTGGTTTCCCTGAAGAAACGCAAAAGCAAATATTTCTCTCTCTAAAATGAGCGGTGTTTTCCCCTGCCACCACCACCCCCTTTTTTTTTTTTAAACAGAGACAGTTCTGAGAGTGAATGAGCGACTGTGGCAGGGCCCTTAGCGTGCTTGCCAATTTAAGAGGTCAGGCAGCCTGTGGAGCTGCCAACAGGTATGGGCCAGAGCTAATGGGGAGCCAGATGACCCAGGAAGCTGGCAGGTGAGGCTAGACTTGGTAGAGGGAGTCATCTGACTCGGGAGGAAGGCTGGGCTTAGAGCAGGTATAACCCCAGGCATGGAGAGAAACCCAGCAGTCACATCTGGGAGCCTGCTGAATGAGCATCCCCTCGGCAGGGTGGCTGCAGCTTCAGAAGGTCAGCATGGAGGGCAACACCTAAAGCAGCCTGGAGGTTTGGATAGGAGCTGAGGGGCTGGAGGAGGTTCCTAGGGACCCAGGCTGGGGTCCGGGTGAGCCCAGAGCAAGGGGCTCAGCACAGAAGATGTATTGTGAGTCCAGAGCAAGAGGCATAAGATGTATTGTGAGGCCTGGGGGAGTCCAGATTGAGGGACTCAATGTAGAAGACTGATGTGGGATCCAGGTGAAGCCCAGGGAGAGGGGATCAGTGTACAGGACCTATTTTGAGGCTCGTGTCAGCCCAGAAACGAGCAGAGAGCCTAAGAGACCTGCTGAGGAGCTTGAGGGAGTGGACCTGCGAGTGAGGGTGGGCTGGTAGGTTGGAGAACTGACCCCAGGAGGATCTTGCTGGCCTGTTAATGGGGCCAGGGCCCAGGGAGGGGCCGAAAGCCAGAGAGGAGCCTGGAGTTCTCAACTGGCCTGAGGCGCGGGCAGGGCCGGGGTTTGGCCAAAGGTCCAGGTGGGGCCACTGCCAGAGAGGAAAGGGTCAGAGAAACTGAGGCCCAGAATGAGAATGGCTGGAACAGGGCCATTGGATGTAAAGGAGGGTCTGAGACAGTGCTGAGACCAGGGGGCCGAGAGGTAGGAGAGCCAGGGCCGGAGGTGGTTTGGAAGAAGGAGATTGCTGAGAGCCCAGATGAGAGCTGACAAGACCAGATTCTGAGAGAGAGAGAGAGAACTGGGGTCAAGGGAGCCCCAAGGGGTGGCATCAGTAAGGGGCCAAGGAACTTGTAGCCAGGGTTGTTGGACAGGGACAGCATAGCTCTGGGGGTGGAGGCCAGGGTCTAAGCTGGCCAGGAGTATGACTGAAGACTGCACCCTGCTTGGGTTTGGGATCATGGTGGTGGGACTGCCTGTGGCAGAGCAGCTCCTAGAAAGTCCCACCAGTGCCAAACCCAAGGGAGGGGCAAGTCTGGGGCACCCTAAAACCCCAGGCCCCATTACCTTGCAGGTTGGCAGGGAAAGGCTAGGGGAGCATACCCTGAATAAAAGCAATGGCAGGACCAGATGATCCAGAGGTGCAGAGTTTAGATTTACGAGGGTTTAGATTTATGAGGCCAGTCCTGGCGTCACTGAAGTCCATAGCAAAACTCCCATAGACTTCCTTAGGACCAGCATTTGGTCCACGGGATGGGTTACAGCTGAGTAGAACAAGCAACAATGTACTGGTCCGCATAATAGGGACTGAGAGAGAGAGAGAAGGCAAACAAGTGAATGTAGTCAGAATAGGAGGTGAAGGCATAGGTATGTAGCAGGCAGGGGAAGGGAGGGCTTCTATGCAAAGGTCTGTAGTAAGGAAGGAAAAGACAGCTCACATAAACAGATGGGTTAGGTTGGGGGGAAATAATACTGGGCAGTGAAACAGATGACAGAAGGCCTCAGGAAGGAAAACTCAAAAGAGAAAAATCCGTCAGATACAAATGAATCACTCTGGGAAGTGTATCTTTGCAAATGGAGAATTGTTGCAAAAAAAACATAGTATGAAAATGCACAGAAATTATATCAGCGTTATCATATTAGGTGAAATGTGGCAATGCAAAATAAATCATTACTGGCTAACGGGGGTGTAGATTGTTCAGAGGAAAGCTTCCAAGGGCTGTGGATGGAGAGGGAGGAGTGGCATTGTATGCAGGGAAGTAAGGAAGAGTTATAGACTCTAAAGTGAAATACTGGTGAGACAAACTTGGTATGGCCTAATTCATACAATGAAGTGAAGGAACACACACAATTAAAAATGCTGCTGGAAAGAACGTATGTTGGGAAAGGAAAGATCAGCTTCTCCAGGTGTAAACTGTGGCATAGTAAGTAGAGGAAATACATCTGCCAGTAAGCTTGTAAACATGATAGAAAGATGCCTTGTTTATCTAATACAAACTTGAGAATAAGCAAGGTGCTTAGCTGAGCTAAGAGCAGAAAAGCAGAGCCCTACAAGTGTTCCATGTGCTGAGCTCCCATTTACTTCAGGAAGATTTTGGTATAAAGAGATCACAAGCTTGGTCCCAAGAGCTTATCATATTTACAAGAGGTGAAGTGATGAATTATTCTAGGAAGTAAAAAATGAGAGCATTTAGAGGAAAAATCTGGACAGAGTTCTGGCTGTATGAATTTGGAATAAACACTGGAAGTAGATGCGATGAGACTGAAAATTGAAAGTGTTCAAGGATCCATATGCCAATGTTTCCCCAAGGTTTTGTGTGTGCTGACAGTAGTAAATGCAGTAGGAGTAAAATAGGAATGGAGAAAACTATTCAGTCTTAATCTGATGGGATTTATTTCCAAACAGTGTAACATAGGATATTCTTCTGGCTTTTCCTCAGGCGAGATCCCAAGCCCAGCTACGACATCAAATGGCTGAAGAGAGCAAAGGAGAATACTCATCCATTCTTCAGAAGTTTAACCATGAGCAACATGAACATTATTACACACACATACCAAACATCTTCCAGGTGAGGTCTTTGATACTGGGGCTGTGTGAGGGGAGAAGAGAGGATAAGTTCTCTTGTTACCTACAAGGAAGGACAACCAGTAGGTTTAATTCTGTGACGCCAGCTCATTGCTCTCCAGTAGTCTCAGCACTGCATTATCAAAGGGCAGTCTTGACGCATCAAACCAAGTAGTAGTTACTCTCTTTTAGTGACAGTTTCTATTCCTGGGATTCCATAGAGAAGTTGTGCTGCTTCAGTTATTCTATTGCAGTTGCACTGGGAGAAGGAGAGATTGTAACTTGTTCAAAATATGTTTACAAGCTGCTCAGAAGTTTTGCATGCTTGTGCAGCAAATGGGCATTTTCCCATTCAAACATATAAACTTCTTAGAAAATTTTCCCTTTAGTTTCATGGTACTTTAAGGTAGTAGTAGTAGTAATAATAAAAAAAATCCCCAGGCTATGTATAAACTTTTATACAGTGCCTTACAGAATTAAACTTTTATCGTTGGCATTGCATTTGGTTTTAGTAAGGAAACCTTTGCCTTCTCTGCGTATCAGAAAATTCCAGTGGTTTATTTCAAGTGTTAAAATGGCATTTACTTTTTAAAAAAATTATATCAATCTGTTCTTTCCTTTAATTATGTTATTTTTCTGTTGGTCTTTGTTGGGTCAAGGTTTAACAGGAAAATGGTGTGGATTCTTCCAGGTAGCCAGTGTCTTATCAGGTTATATGATGCAACACAAAATGTGCATCCTTGATTCATGTCCTCTGGATACACTTTCTGCATCCTTGCATATTCCTGTTATGATGGATTATAAAACCTCCACTTTTCCTGTGTTCTAAACCAGAAGTCCTTGGATTTGATACTTGGAGAGCCTTGACACCACATATAGGGAACAATAAAATGCCTGGTTTAAACAACATAACTTGATGTTAGGGGCAGTCTGGACAACTAGAGTCCCATTTCTCAAAAGTTTAAGGTTTTTAACTTTTGTTTACAATCTTTGTGGAATTCAAATGAAAACTTTTCAAAATCTTTCACAAAGAATGAGAGAGAGAGAGAGAGAGAGAATTTATTTTTATAGGAATTTTGTTCAGGACCTGGAAAACTTCCTTAGCAAAATTTTTATCAGGATCCATATAATTCCACTTCTTCAGTTTTGACAAATGAGCATTTTCCAACAAGAAATGTTCATTGCAAAATTACCAACTACTGCTTGTAACAAGGAGTCTACTCTTTGACCGGCCCTTCAATCTTCATTTTCCTAGATTTTAAGTAATATTTAAATGATTTTATTTAAAAGGAGTTGCTGTACGGCAGGAAGAAATTGGTTGAAACAGTGGTGTAACTCAGTGTTTTATCAAAATGATATGTAATGTTTTAGAAAATACAAGACATGGAGGAAAGGAGGATAGTGAGAATAGGTGAATCCATGAAGACCTTTGCCGAAATCGACCGCCAGGTGATCCCCATCATTGGGAAGTGTCTGGATGGAATAACAAAGGCGGCTGAATCAATCGATCAGCAAAATGTAAGTGTTGCACTGTTGAACCGTGTTTTCTGCATTGATATTTGTCATTTGTGGTTCACTTTTAAGCCCCAGGCCTAGATCTTTTGTGCTGTGTTCTGGATGATCACAGAACAAAAGCGACGGTTCTTCCCCCAAATGACTTACAATCTGCTGCTCTGCGAAGAAACAATGAACACAAAGCTGAAATCCAATCAGAGCTCAGAAAAGGATTCTTTGTCGTAGGTTCATTAAGGATAGGTCTATTCCTAAGGCCTGTTTTAAAATATAAATGCTAGATGCTTTTGTCATCTTGAAGCAAACATTCTGTTCCTCTTGTAGATGCATTTGTTTAGTAAGATTTTGCATACTGTCATTTGCCTTTTAAAGAATAAAAGTTTTCTTTGTCAAATATACTCCTTTAATGTACTCCTTTTGCTAGGATCCTGTTTCTAAAGACTAGATTATCTGTAAATAGACTTCTGCAAACCCCATTTTTAGATGATAGGCCACACCAGTCCTTCTGTGATAGTGTTTACTCTGGCTTTCCAATAGAACCAAAAATCAAATGGAATGTTACAGGAATGTGTTTATTTTAGTTATTCTGTTAATTATGGAAGTACTAAACATGTTGTGTGTGCAGATTTGTACATCTGTCCAGCTTTCTTCAATGTATATATTCACCTTTGTTCCATTAGTCTGGATCCTTCAATTTGCAAATGAGCAGTGGGGGATTTTAATTTCTGAACATCACTCTGATAAGGAGTTTGGTTGTTTCCTGTTGCACAGGCAGCACAAGAGCAGATCTGTTTTCTTTCTAGTTGTGAATGCAGTGCTCCCACACTCTGTTGGTAAATGAAGTCTCCATCTGCTTTTCAACTCTTTTTTCATGGATCACATCAGTGTTCCAAATACAAACAGCATGTGTATTGCTTACTGTTTGAATTTCCCCATATGTCTTGTTCACTGGACTCTTCTAAGCTTTTCATTGCTCAGAGCCTGGATATTGCAGTTAATTGGTTGCAGAGGCCTAAGGCTGATGTTTCAGAATATAATTTTCTGCTCAGCACTCACCAGCTCCCACTGACAGTTTCTTAGGAAATGACAGAAACAGAAAGAGAAAGTGACGGTTGTTGTTTCTCCTTTGGAGGTATTTCAGGTACTGGTGGGACATCATCAGTACAATGTACTTTTGTTATGGTGCTAACCTGGAAGATAAGTCTGCACTGTAGAGAGCCAGCCCAGGCTTACGCACTGCTCAAACCCTTAGATGAAGCCATAGATAGAATATAAATGAGGAATAGGCTAGCCCTGAGCAGACAGCTAAAGTTAACCCTCAAATTGATATTACATACATGTCATTTTGAGGATATATCATATTTCGAGTGCCTGCGGGTGTTTTAATGTTAAATGGGTGACTGAGCTTTCTGTTACAGAAGACTCATGCATGCAGTAAAACACACTTCTGTTTCAAGTGTTGAAAATGGCAGTTGCTAGAAATGCCCCTGGAGTGAGAATGTGTTTATATTTAATGAACCTTGTTTAATGTTCCACACCTCATCACAATGGAACAATCACAAAATACGTAACAAACTTTCTATGCACTTAAAAGTCTCCACTTGCTTCTTACATGGATTCCTTGCACAAAAGGAGAATACAGACATTATGGGTATTTTTCTGCTACAAGATCCCTTCCAAGGATCAGCCTGAAACCTTCCACCCTAGAACTTCAGTTAACTTGGGAGAAACAAAAATGTTTTTATCCTTTAAGAGTCTTTTTCCCCCTCAAAATTCATTTGAAATTTGTGAAGTTGCATAGTCATTTGAAAAATGGGGCAGAGTAAAGAGAAATGCATGCAAAAGCATCTTTTTCTTTTTCTTTTGTTACTACAAAGCTTATAAGTGCAAGGAGCTTCTGAAATTAGAAGAATGCTCCCAGCTCTATCTTGATCTGGACTGTATTGTTTAAAGCAAGGAAACTATAAAAGCAAATTATCACAAGGAGGTGGGAGAAAGGGGGGAATATTTCTCGTAAAGGAATAATAAAGCTGTAAAATAAGGTACTGGGGAAGGTAGCTGGAACTGAAAATCTGTCCGTGTCTGGGGTGTCACGTAGCTACATGTTTGTGGAAGGAAGGAATAACGTTGGGTGGGATGCGGCAGAGCAGGAAGGTATGGTTAAAATGCACCAAACAAAGGCAGGGCCCTTGGATGCAGTGGGCTTTTCCTGTTGAAAGGTCATATATCCTGCTGCAGATATGCGGTCTAAATCTTTTGCTTTGCTCATGCTCATGTAGCCGGGTTATCTGGTTAATTGTATTACCTCTGGGGCCCTGTACAGACGTAACATGCTTCAACAACAGTAGCTGGCCCCTGTGTCTGAAGGTTGTGTGTTCTGACGCTGTCTTGCAAAACCTTCAGCATCAGCAATCTTAGTAGCTTACTATTAGATATGTCTTTCTCTGAGCGCAAAGAAACTAGTGTGCAGCCTGGCTTCAGGCTGGATTTAGCTTTGGGAATGAGCCAGCACAGGTCAGATTCAAACAAAGCTGAGTGCATTGAAAACTGCTGATAATGCAGATGGCATGTGGTTAAATGAATACAAACAAGACCCAAACCTGCGCTGGCAGGGGGAAGAAACAGCCTAGCTTTGTTCGAGACACTGGGCTTTCCCAAAGGGAACCAAGACTGGGAAAAGCCCTCTGGTTTTTGAGCCTTTAGGTTGCACTCAAGTTACACTTCCAAGTTTTTCCCCAACCTTGGAGCCTAGAAATTTTTGTTTAAATGACTGCAGACAGTCTCCTATAATAATGTGACTTCAGGATCTGGCTCTTCATGCAAAACAACCAACAGTATGACACTGACAGAAGATTACAGCAAAAGTAGGTGACACTGCAGCTACCTGTTGTAAAAAATATCACATAGTAAATTTCAGATGGAAGACTGGAAGGACTTCTAAGATATATAAATCCTTCTCCCTTGATACTAGGATATTAAAGATTGATGGTAAAGCTATTACTGGGACTATTTTAGCAGTGTTAAACAATGCTTTGCATCATCTTCAGTGAACTTCATATGTGGATCTCCAAGTCCTTTTATCAAATACAGGTTTTTAACAGAAATTCAGGTTTTTAACTGAAATCTGCTACATGCAGTATTGCTCAGTGCACTCAGTATTGAATCTTTTCCTGCAGCATCCAAGAAACACTAAATGTGTAGTGCTAAAATTGTACTGTACCAGTAATAAGAAAGCATTAGAATTGTGTTATATTTCACTAACTTACTGAAAACACAATTGTGTGGATTCCTTAGGAAGTGCCACAGTTGTTTGCATGGTATGTAGTAATACTTAGTGCTTGAATTATACCTTTCCTCACTGGATGTCTGAATAGATATTAAATGCCTTCTACAAGCCACAGAGGAGGTCATATGAGTGCTAGGATTAGAATTCAGGAACTCCTGCTGTCCAGTTCTTTGTATGCTCTATTAGATTCTTGTCTGTTCTTCTGGTCTAGGCATACCCAAGTAGAATCAGTAATAGTTATTTATTTATTCAATTTATATGCCTCCCTTCCCAACAATGGCACAGGGAGGCTTACAGTAGAAAACAGAATAACTTAAAAAAAATAGAGTGACAAGAGGACCACAACAGTTTAAAGGGGGACTAGAATATCAAGATAAAACGGAGAACCCCTAAACAGCATCTCATCTTAATTTTGTTTGGTGAGTGCTTGCCCAGATAGGAAGGTCCTATGTTTCTGAAAGATGTCCAGGCTCGAGCTTGGACTTTTCTTTCCTGGTACTTCATGCATCAGTATGTCATTCGTGTCTTCCTTTCCATCTACAAACTGATGACTGGGAAGCATTACATATAGTCGTCCTGGGTTAGAATGGCCAAAATGGAACCATTAAAAATATGTTGCTATCAACATTTGTATTAAGGAAACCTCTGTTGTGGAGAGGCCAAGCCATTCATTACCTGCATTCTGGCAGGTGTGATAGACGTGCCGTTGTACGGTAAAATAAAAATGCATGAGTTCTTATCTTTGACTAATGGATTTCTAGAGACTGACAGGTTCAAAAGCTAAAAGAGTTCCAAGTAGAACTTGAATGTCCTTGCCTGTTGCCCTCTACTTTAGGTCTGAAAGAGAGCTGAGGACTTCTTGCAAGTCCTCTGAAAAAACCACCTTTGTTTCATTTTGTTATACAGTGTTAAAAACTGACAGGGTATATTGGATAGATTTAATATTTTATGACACTTAAGCTGCAAAGAAAGTAAGAAGCTTGTCTTGCCCAGCTGCAACCCTGCCAATTTTTCATTCTTAGTTATGCCACTTGAAAAAAGTAGTATACTTGCTCAAGATTGAATTCTGCCTTTGCTAAAGCATTCCCATCAAAAGATCAATGGGAGCAGCACACATTTATCTGGGAATAGAATTTGGGCCTCTATTTCTAGTATTCTTACAAAGAGCTTGCTGTTTTTTTCCCATTCTTTTAAAAAAAAATATATATTTCCAACAAAGCAGAGGTCATGTTTGCAAGGGTAAGCCACAGTGACTGTTAAGTGAACCTGGATGGAATTCGCCTCTGCAAGCTCTGGCAGTAGATAAAATTAATTTGTTACGGACTTCTGAGTTCCTGTTATGACATTATCTTTTTTCTCATATATAAAGAGAAATAGTTATTTTTAGCCCCATTGTAGTGAAAGGGAAGCTTTGACTATATAGAAAGAATACTGTGTAATTAAAGGAGAAGAAATTAAAAGTTCATAAAGATGGACTGATATATACTAGTATGGAATGTGACATGTACGGGTTTAATTAATGTATTTTTCATTTTTAACTCCTTTCCCCCCTGCGGGTCTTACTTTCATACCTAAATAATACCTTTTATTAGATGTTTAAAATTAGGGAGGTTTTAATATTGCATTAGAGTTTAAGGTTTGTGGAGGAGATGTACCGAAACGTCTGCCAAAGTAATAAGTAATGTTGTTAATTTTCAGCAGGCTACTTGCTCCAAAATCCCTTTTAAAAGCTTGTGAAAATCTTTCCCTGTACCTTGCTTTTGCTTAATTCACCCTGGTCTCTGGCTGCATGCATATCCTCTGACACATCCTTGAGATGGTCTTTTATAAACAAATATGAACAAAAGTAATGAAATATGGTCAAAGCAGTGAGGGCAGCCTTCACTTCCATTTGCTCCTGTTAAACAGTGTTCCTAACGTCAGTGGCTGAGTCTAATGCTCTTGGAAAGAGAATGTATATGTGAAGTAAAATGAGGAGCTGCTTCCCAGGAAAGGCTGCTAGATGATAGGTATTTTGGGAAGAGTATTGAGGGGGATGGAGGGGGGAGTATTTTCTTCATTTATTTTATGCTTCTGAATATAACACACACCCTGTTTTGGAAGACTCCAAGAAGGAAAAAAGGTGGGACCTAATCTGGCATGCTGGTGCTAAGGCCATGCTTGTGGTCCCAGATTTAGCACACAATCCCAGATTTGGCATTCTGGGTCTGACCTGACAGCTCCAGAGCCAGCATGCAGGGTTGCACCCTAGCTGTGTGCTAGGTCATACCTGGTGCCCTGGCCACACACAGACCAACTCTGCATGCTGTATGTCAGAGGTTGGCAACCCTTGGGACATGTGCCAGTGTGTGACATGCAAAGGCATTTTGCTTGGCACGTGCACCTAAGGAGGGATGGTAGGGGAGGTGCGAGAGGCCCAATTCTTGTTGTAACAGTGCAGCCCTGGACCCTTCCTTGCCATCCACCTTGAGGTGCGCTTGCACCCACATCTGGCAATGATCTGGGCCGTGGTTCTGCAGATCCTGGTGCAGCTGCTTCCAGCCTCTCTGCTGCCTGCCGCAAGCAGCTCAGGCTCCGTGGTGGGCAGCAGGGGCCCGCCCAGAGCCTGGCTCGGCTGTGGCAGGCAGCCAGGATGCTGCAAGCAGCTCCGTGGGGGTCTGCAGAGCTCTGGCCCAGCTCGTTCCTAGTGGCAGATGCACATACACATTGGGGCAGATGGTGGGGAAGGGATTGGGGCTGTGCTCCTACAGCAAGGATCAGGCCCCTTGCAGCTCCCCCACCTCTGCCCCTGGCACGCCAACATCTTACAAGTCGAGGTTGCGGGTGTTTTGGGCACTCTGCCCAAAAATGTTGCTGACCCCTGCTATATGTGAAAACGTATTGTAATGTTTTCTGTGTTTGAGGCTTATGTTCAGCATGATTGGTCTTGGACGACAACCTGATGAATGGTTTTCATCTTGATGCTAGATTAAAATGCATTTACCTTACTGCTATGCCTGATGCTGAAACTACCCATAAAATTCTGTTACCTTCGTAGATCCAACTAGCAAGCATGTTATGCATTGTTACCTTTTTCAATCAGTTGTTATCTGTCAGTACATAGGTAACATAATTGCATATAGTATATGGCTAATGTGTGACTTGACAGACTTCCAGTTTAGACAGGATAGCACTCTACTTTTCATGGCACCAGAAGACTAATTAACATTAAAGTTGTTTCTCATTAATAGAGCAGATGGGCTTTACCTTCACTGTAGAGTTCCACTGTATCAGTAACCATAGTCTTTGTCCAACAAGTTTATATGTGTACTGGATCTATTTCAGGATTCACAGTTGGTAATAGAAGCCTTTAAATCAGGGTTCGAACCTCCGGGAGATATCGACTTCGAGGATTTCACTCAGCCAATGAAGCGCACTGTCTCTGAATCCAGCCTTTCCAATTCCAGAGGGGATGGAAAATCTGAGCCCAAGTTTGGTGGCAAATCGAAGGGCAAGTTATGGCCATTCATCAAGAAAAATAAGGTACTGACTTCCAGTTTTCAGCTCAGCATTAGTAGATTTATAGCCAGTAACTTCTGTCTTGTTTTAAAAGTCCTGGCAAGTAAGATTTTTTTTTTTTTTTTAAAGAATTTATGTTGCAGAAAGCTAATAGCTGTCCTGGTAGGTGTTTTGTTGTAGTTTTCTTTTTAATTTTATGTTTTATTTTCAAAATATTTTTTTTTCCTGTATAATTTTAAATGCTATTGCTGCTTATTGATTTATTTACTTTTTAGTTGTCACGTCTTTTGCCATGGCCATTTCTGTTTTCTAATTCAAAGTGGGGATTGTATTCACTTCTGGAATGCCACGCGCGCTAACTAACATCATTACTTTGGGGCGGCTTTATTACAGTGTCACTCTTCTGACACTCCTAAAACTCTCTGTGCTTCTTTGCATTACTGTTTCAGTGGGTGCAGTGGCTGGGGAGGCTGGGAATGGGGATTTGCGGTAACTCATCCTTTCTCGGTACAACTAATTGAGCCTCTACAATGCAGTTGACTTTTTTTAAGCTCACGCTAACTTTGTATCCATTTAAACCTGTTTTCATTTCATTGTTGTATTTTATATCGTAATGCATGGCCATGTTTACCTGGGGTTCTTAGAAGGTGTCAGAGTGATGGGACAAAGCTTGTTCACAGCTATGCCACTACAATCCAAGAGTGAGACCTCTGATCTGATCTCATCCTCTTTGCTCTGCTTCTTAATTTGACCCTTTATGTTGATGGCAGAGTGAGTGGAAAGAGCTGCCAAATCATAACAGGGCACTTGAATTGTACTGGTGTAAGTGACCATTTAAAACACAGGGCAAGGGAGAATCAGGCTCTCTGACTGGAAGCAGAATTGGGCCTAATGTCTCCACTGTGTTTGTTTATAGCATAAAATTACAGCATCATTTTAAAAAGCTAAGAACTTGAGCAGCATGATTTGAAAGACATAAGAAATGAGTCTTCTTGTTTTCTGAATAATAGAAATACCTCTGGGCACTAAGGTACCTTCCTTATTGGGCCTGTGTCCATATATGCAGTTGGAAAAATCTGTCCATATGCATTATTTTGACCTGCCCACAGAATTAGTACAGGGGAACTTGTGTAGCATTTGCATGGAAGAGTCTGCATGAGCTTACTGTCAGATACTTCGTGTTGCTTTTTTGTTGCGTTACTAACCCACCCATTTTCTCACATTCTTCTTTTAACGCAAGTCTTAAACACTCCTTTTCCCCCTCTCTGTTGAACCATGGCTTTTAAATATTTAATTATTTAATTGTTTTTTTTTTCTGGATGTTCAAATATTGTTTTTGATGCTTATTTTCGTTTTGTGTTTTATCTTTTTATTTTGGTTTTTATTCTGTCACTTCTCCATCTCTTATACTTAGCTTATGTCCCTTTTAACATCCCCCCATCAGCCCCC